AATAAACCAATCTTTTTCAGCCAGTATCTTACCAGCGCAACTTATTCTGTGACTGACGAATATACTCGGCTCGATTCTGGCGACACAAAACGGTGCGCACTCTTAAACGAGGGCGCCACAGTTAACTGGTTAAGTACCACTAGGAGAGGGAAAGGGTGTAAGAGGCCCTTTTATTAACTCAAATAAAGTTTAACGGAAACTCAAATAAAGTTTAATAACTAGTGCTAACAGAAGCCAACAGTTTTAGTTTAAATCAAAGATGATGAATGAACTAAAATTTATGAAAATAAGTTTAGCCTATCGGCTTCCCATTTTTAATAAATGCGCAAGCTGGCTCTGACCTAAGGTCGGCGTAAAATGCCCAATGGGAAGACTAATGCAACGCCGCAGAATACTAATCACGAGAGAACAAAATTTAGCAACGTGAACTTATAGCAGGCAGAACACGCTCTAATTCTTCTCTCTAATTTTTTTTTTTTTTTTTTAAATAAATAGGCTTTTCTTTCTAGCTTATTTGAATATCGTGCAGGCTAGAAATTTATACTCTGGGAGGAAAATGGAAATCAGATCGATAGGAATATAGATCGATAGGAATATAGGATCGATAGAATATTAACATAAAATAACTGGTTAGAATTTCAAATGATACATTATAAATATTTTTAAAAACGCTCCAGAAAATGTTGCTCATTAAAAAAGAAATTCTAGTTTCAGATTCTCTAGACATGCAAAAATCTTTTCGGTAAAACCAGCAAATCTAAGACTAAAACTGAATTTCGCATTTATTTTATTTACTTAATTATTACTTTAACAAAAGTAAGTATCTTCAGCTTCAAGGTAAAGCAAACAAACGTCATGATATTTATTTCCTGTTTTATCTATTCAATAACCACTTTAAATGGATGCTTGCGGATGATATAGCGATACAATCATAATTGCCCTGGGAAAAATCAACCTTTTGTTTCGGTTCCGGTTATGCATTTCTGAGCAACAACGGGCCTCACTAACTGTAGGTTAAAACGTCCTTCTACGAAGGTCGTGCCACCAAAACTTACATCAGTCATACCTTTGCTGAGCTGTTTCAGCCACGAAGAATGAAATAAATTATTCCATCCTCAGTGATTTCAACGTCTTGCGAAGAAGTTCGCGTTCTCACGACCAAAAGTTAAGAATTTTGTAATATGAAATGGTTCTTTCTCTATGAAACTTTTCTGTGACGTTACCTAAACAGTATTACAAGGAAAATATCCTACATTAACAAACATTCTGTTACGTAAAAAGTAAAAAATCAAATAATACAATAAAATAAATAGTGATGTTCAAACATTAGTATCCTTAAGACACAATAACACGCCGAACAAATACTAATTCAGAAGTCAAACAATAAAAATCAGCGTTATATTTTCTAATTTTCACAGGACTAATCACTAGTCCTAGTCCTTTCACTAGTCCTGGGAAAATTAGAAAATATAACGCTGAGTTTTGTTGTTTGACTTCTGAATTAGTATTAGTATCCTTATTACGAGCATCATGATATTTAGTTAATTTAATGCTTTAACCCTTTCCGGCACGCTACCTTTTAAAGTTGGTGTTTTGATGAAAAAAAAAGGTAGGCAGTCTAATTAGACCTAGAGGAGTACACAAGTAAAATTTTGTGAAGATAGCACTTATCGTTTTAATTCTGTGGGTGTGCCCAAAGTGGGCACACTGATTGAATACAGCTTCGAAAGGAGTGCTGAAACGAGCCTTGTTGTCAATGAACTGACAGACGAGATGCGGAGAAACAAAGAATACAGACTCTCAGTTAGCCTAGATTATCGGTGAGCCCGGTCTGGGCACACCTAGTGTGGCGACTCTGTAAACTTGTGTTCTACTCGCCAACCGCGCGCCGTTATCACTAACTGTAACCGAAGGTGATTTCGGCGACACACAGTCACGTCTCGTTGTCGGTGCGGTTGGTCGCTCGCTTTCCTCCAACGTGATTGTCTGTCAACTGTACTAATTAAGTTTTACTCTTGTAATGTTATTAAATGTTTTTGTTATCTAAAAATTGGCTCTTATGGCATGTTATGAATTCATCCTTAAAAGCTTTGGCAAATTCCAGTACTCATAGTTTGTTGTTGCACACAGCCGCAACCATGTGCAACAAATGGTGTTCCTTTTATACCCTAAAAAAAATCTGGAAGATTTCTTTGAAAAACGAGGGTCTTAAAAAACTAAACATGGCTAAAATATATGGACTGGTTTGTGTTGAGCTGCCATCTACTATAAATAAAGAAGATTCAGAGTAACCTATAGTAACCCTATAAATCCTTTTTCATTCAATTTTTCTGTGAAGGAAAGTTTTAGGTGGGTCCAGACCGGACACACTGTGCCGCAAAGCGTTAAAGCCAGATGACTAGTGTACGTTTTAACTTTGCAAGTACAATGTTTGAGCGGGAAGATGGCGTGTTTGATCGTGTAGTGTTCAGTGATAAGTCAACTTTTCATCTTAGTGGGAATTTAAATATCCATAATGCTCATATGGCTTACCTTGGTATATTACAAGAATGCCTCTTTCCCCAATCAATACAGGATGAGCCTGTAAACTTTATTTGGCAACAAGGTGGAGCCCATTCCCATTGGAAACTCTTTGAACGAGAATAGTTAAACGTCGAAATCCCTGATCGTCGGATTGGTCGAGACGATAGCGCTCTTTTTGGTTGGCCTCCACATTCACTTGACCTAACACCGTGCGATTTTTTACTTTGAGTGATCCTAGGATGGGTGACGTGAGCGCGACGTTCTAATATAAATGTCCTGAGTGACCCAATGTGTGGTTTTTCGAAAACTTATGGAGACGGTGACCATCCTCTTATTTTGAAGTTCATTTGTGCAAAATTTCATCAAAATTGGAATAAAACTGTGTAGATACTAAGTATTTTTTGGAAGCAGGCAAGATGAAAAATAGGCAACGCGGACCTCTCAATTACGCGCTGAACGTGCAGACCACTGCACCACGAAAGCTCGCTAAGTAGGCGGGAGAAATACATTATAACTGTAGATTTGCATCATTGACATAATGTACAAACAAACGGACACTATTATATATAAAGATGATTTTAATCTCGCTAGAGTGGTTTCCTGGGCACACTTATTAACTAAGAATACCTTCGTACGACTTTAATCAGCCGAGATATTAATCAAAACTCTGAAAACACTAATTTTCGCACTCATTTTTCCGAATGGCAACAGTCTCGCGCGTTGGAAATAAAAATGCTTTATTTCGAAAAGTGTTGCTACTGTTCACTTTCAAGTCGTAGAATTTGTTAATCAAAAATTTGTAAGTTCTACAAAATCATTATATATATATAATAATTTATTTACTAAAGAAATATTGATTATATTATCTCCTATATATATATAAAGAATATCTGTTTGTTTGTTCGTGTTATTGATTTCTGATGAATTATGATCAATTTTTTGCCAACATTGAATATAGGTGAAATATTGGATGGAACTGGAGCTTTTATAACTATTTGATTAGAAAGATGAAAATCATTCAAAACTGTGTGCCATTGTTGCTGATATAATGGGAGAGAATTAGCTTATTTTGCTCTCGAAATTTTGTATGTGGGTTTCGCATCGCATCAGACTGAAACATGTATGACTATAAATCGTATTTTTTGCATTGTTATTAGAGAAGGATTACAGCAGAATCGTTCTCTCTGTTGTTTTAGATATTTTACTGGCATCGTTTACTTCCGCTAGTAACAGAGTAAATTTGAAAGAAAATTTAATATACAGGGTGTTTATAAAGTCACGGACCCATTTTGATGTTTAATAACTCATAAAATAATGAAGATATAAACAAACGTATGGCGTTTATTGATGGAATAACTTATATATTTTCCTTTTCAGGTTTGAATATCTTTGCTTTTGTAAATATCGTCTGTGCGCGTGATTAATTTCAGATAATGTCATTTTCCATTCTAAATATCTGTACTTTTCTAAATATGGTCTGCTTAATAATTGCATTTTTCTCTCTTTTGCTTTTGACAACTATTGCAATGTTATGGGTATCTGAAAACCCCCATGAATACCGGGAGGCACAAAGGGACACCCCAAAGGTTAATGTGTGGTGTGGACAAATGCACGACCGAGTCATTGGCCTTTCTTTTTTACAGAAAAGACGGTCTCATCAGTCGTATACTTAGACATGTTGGAAAACTTCGTATTTCCACAACTAGAAGAGCTTCAGCCACATGTCTTTTTGCAACAAGATTGTGCACCACCTCATTGGGGTACCATCGTTCGTAGTTCTTTGAATGACCATTTTACAAGAAGATGGATTGGACGAGGAGGTCCAATTCTTTGGCCACCCAGATCACCTGATATAACACCGCTGGAATTTTTCTTTTGGGTATTTGTAAAGGACAACGTTTACAGGAGGAGAGTGTTGAAAATTCATAACCTAAAGGCAGAATTACAATGGGAATAGCCTCTGTGGATGCCGACATGCTTGCTGGTACCTAACGTAAAATTGAATATCGACTTGATATTCTCCGTGCGAAGAAGGGGGCACATGTGGAAGTTCATTGACAAGGATCATGAAGCTTTTTGAGTCTATCTAAACCATTAATGTTATTAATTTTAATGTATCTTTATTATTTTATGAGTTATTAAACATCAAAATGGGTCCGGGGCTTTATAAACACCCTGATGTATTAAGCTTTGTTTAACGATAGCCATTGCTGCGTGGAAGATTTAAAATCATTTCATTCAGACTGTGGCAACATATTTCCTTCTTATTATTGAGTTTGTTTATTAAATTCGAAAGATAAATATATTTCGAATGGCAACACACTTCTTCAACGCCGAGATTTCCGATTAAATTTGAAACATAAATATCTTCACCCTCTGCAAAAGAGCAACACAAAGTTTTACCAAATGCAAACACTACAATATACACAATAAATAATAACGAATGAACTATAGCTGAATACTAAAGAAAAACTCACTTGTAAAGTTTTTCAGCTCCATTTCGAATCATAATCTGTTTGTTTATTTCTTGATTGAGCTTTGCTCTCTGATTCTGCTGCTTGCCTCGACATGTTGCAAGCCGTGGATCAGAGCCCTAAAAAACAGAAAAAAAAAAAAATAAAAATAAAAATAAACGTAATTATTTATGTCTATTGGGGAGAAAAACTAAAGGCAACGCCCTCGCTAGCTTTATATCCAGTCTCTAGCGTTATATTTTCCTAGCGTAAATACGTGTAAATATGTATAGAATTATTATTTAACAACATAATTTAAAAATTGTTTGCATATGAATAACGTCATATGCAAACAATTTTTAAATTATGTTGTTAACGTCAGGAAATACTTAGAACACTCTCGAATAATATTTGCGAAATGTCGCCAATTTTTCGACTCTCCTCAAGTTCAGTCTGTTTCTGAATATCTGTGCATTAAGTATCGAAATCGACGCCCAAACTGGATAGTGGGTAATGACTCTGACTACCATACCGAAGCCCGCGGGCTCAATTCCCGGAGAAGGCATGAGTGTTTATCAATGTAGAGTGTCTTTGCGGCATGGGGACACTTTAAATATGTGGCGAGCCGAATCAAATCGACTATCACCTATTAGCTGTGGTTTGGTGTTAGAAACCGGCATGGAGCGAGGGGCCACACCCAGGGTGCTCACCGACAAAATATGGGTTGGAAGTGGGAAAAATCGTAAACCACCTTTATGGTTCCCAAGGTTCTAGCCAACGATAGGCAAAATCTTGCGCTCCTGGCCACGACTAATTTCGTGGGCTTGTTCTGATGACGTGATTAGTCACAACAACAGGAACTGAAATTCGCACTGTTTCTAGATTCTACCATAGATTTCTAGATTCTAGTTTATCAGTTTCGGCAGTAAATGTCTCTAATTAGCATGGTTATTTTGGAAAGAGATTTAGAAAATCTTCTTACACAACATGCGTATTACGATTTTCAAGACATCATAGCACAGTACGCCCTCTGCGTTTTCTAGCGTTTTTTACTTCCTTGTACGAAGTAAAATGGAAGTATTGTAATCGCGAAAAGTTTCAGGCAACATATTTCAACGAAAATATCCATTTTGACCGCTATCGAATGCAATTTAACGATGTTTTTGCGTAATATCTGTACGTAAGGACAGAATAAAACACTCTTTTCCTGAAAAAAAATTATAAAACTGCTTTAAAATGAATTCTGAAGAGAATGTTTCGTGGCGTCTGTACGAACGTATGTACGTGCGTGCTTACGTACGTATCTCGCATAACTCAAAAACGAGTAGCCTCAGAACGTTGAAATTTTGTATATAGGACTGCTATAACATGTCGATGTGCACCTCGTATTTTGGTTGCAATTGGCCGCACCAAACGTATATAAATATATTTATATATATATCCACTCTGTTACCCGGCTCAGTGATCTCAGTTTCTTTACTCTTATATGTTCGTAAATTGTACATTTTTTGCTTTAAAAATGATTGAATTATGTTGTTTTTATCTTCCACGGTTTTATGTCTTTCGTAATTCTGGAAGCAGTATTTGTACAATTATCAACAATTTAAAAGCTGTTTAAGTGCGGTTAAGGTTGAAATAACATGGTGGACATATTTGTTTACATTTGAAACAGCAGAATTGTAGATTTGTTGCCAATCTAGAGGGACTAAGCTTCGCAACACAAAAATAACGCCTTTATTTATTATTGCGAATTAAATCATGCTTAATCCTTTCTGGAATTTTTTCGAGGAAATAAGCGTTTAAGATTTACTTCGTAATTAAGACACAATAACACGCCGAATAAATACTAATTCAGAAGTCAAACAACAACAACTAAACTCGATGGTTCGGTAAAACCATCGAAACTAGTCCTGTGAAAATTTTGTAAATATAACGCTGATTTTTGTTGTTTGACTTCTGAATTAGTATTTACTTCGTAATTTTTAATACGGATATTTTGAGTTTTTATGTATTTTTGCCTTGTCGCGAAGTGAAAACTGAATTAATTGAATGAGAAATACTCAATCGTCTGTGAAAACTGTTTCTTTTTTGCTTTGCTTGCTTAATTTCTTTTATACATCGTTCTAGCTTTTATTATAGTATTTGAATAGAACATGTGGCAACGATTAGATAATTCTTTAAATGATATACATTTTGTGCATTCTGAATTATAATATGAACGAAATATAATACTGTTAAGTGAACCTAGCGCCAGAGTGTCGCTATGGTAAACAAAGTGAATTTTAAAGAATGCATTTATTTTATTGTGGTTTATGCGGTGTTCGGCGAAGTAGGTTTAATTCAATCTAATAAGTTTAAATGAAATGCAAGAAAAAATGCGTACAATTTAATATTCCGTACAAGAAAGTCATGTGGTGTACACATCAGATTTTTAAGCGAATGAAAACCTAGCTGTGATAGTAATCGTGTAAACCCATTACATTGGGTTGTAGACACATTAGGTATTTGTTGGAAGCAAGAGTCATGAAAAATGAGCAAAGCCTTCGCCGGGAATCGAACCACGGACCTCTGGAATTCGCGCCCAGCATGCAGACCACTACACCTCGAAGGCACGCTAAAGAGGCGGGAGAAACATTTTATAGGTTAATGAAACTTTCGGAATCGCACAAAAAATAGAACGACATTACTAATGATCACCTTAAATGTACTATTATTATCCTCTTACCATTTTTCTATATATGCAATTAGTTTCAAGAAATACCACATTAGTTTTTAATAAGTCATCCGAACCGAACGTCTCAGCAGCCGCATGCACTAAAACTGAGGAGACAATTACACATGTGATCGCAAATAATTTTCAATGAAATTTTTTACGCTTTTAAAAATTGTCAGTTGTCTAACTGTATAAGGTATTTTCTTCCTCCACTTCGCATGCCGTGGTGTAATTGGAAGCATACTCGACGCGCATGCGCGTGGTCCAGGGTTCGAGTCCCGGCGAGAGTATTGAACTTCTTTTCACCTCTTTGACTCTATAACTGTAATGATTTATAATTCAATTCACAAAGACATAGAACTAATCTCTATAACTGTACATTTTTTTCTTCTTTTTTACTTTAGATCATGAGCGAACCAATTATATTTTGAAGAAATATTAGGAGAAACCTCAGACATTTTGCGTGACTGTCTTTTAAAGATGTACGGAAAATTATCTTGATTAAAAAATGATATGTTACAATGCTGATAACACTAACACAAATTTTCTAAACAAAAGAATGAAGGAACAAAAATATGTAAGGTTAATTATTATTTTGAATAACCAGTCATTTCATGATTTAGATCTTTACTGCCAGTTATGTTTGCATTTCTCTTCCAGAATACAAATCAGTTTTGACAATATTTAAGCCGAGGTTTTTCGGATTGGTAAAACAGAGTATGTTTCGATCTCTAAGTGGCCAAGTTATTAGGCTTCTGCTAGTTTAGTTAAGACTGCATTCTTCGGCTTTGCATTATACTTGCCGACATTTAAATTATGATCCCGGAGAGAAATTTGAGTCAGTTTCACTTTTGGTTACTAGACTTAGTTTTAATTTTGAGTTTACTGTTATTTTGTTACATCGCCATAACTGACTGGCTAATTTTTAAGCATTAGTAGCGCATTTATGTTTTATTTTATTAGTTATGATTTAATAAAAAAGTTTTTTATACCTTCTTAAGTCTCCATAGTTTTACTCAGACGAAGTGATAACAGACTTGGAGTGAATTATCGCTTCAAGTCTGTTAGGTTTGGTTTACATAGTTATATGGCAAAGCACTCGGGGGCTATCTGCCGGAGGGAAGGGATACCTTCGTGGAGGACTTTATCGCTCGACCGCTGGTGGGCCCAAGTTTGTTGGGAATTTGGACTTAGTTTATGCTAGCAAAGAACGCTAAGCTCTATAAATATATTTAGAAAGATTGAAAATAATTTATTTTATCTTTTTCCAGACATCGCCTGCTCGGCACACATATGCGGCTTAAATGTTTGTCGCCGATAGTTTATTGGTTGCTTGCGTAACTGTAAATTGTTTTATTCCCCGTGCAGTGCAGCGCGTGACGAATATTATGAGAAAGCTAAGCCGGAAAAATTAAAAATACAAAAGCACGTGCATTTAACATTTAATAAATAAATCTAACATCTATATATAATAGAATTCGGAAATATGCAACCGGCAAAAACCGGCGCAACGATGAAAAAACAAATAAAATGAAATAAATAAATATCTTTATTATATGCGGCTTAAGTGTCTGTTTGTCGCCGATAGTTTATGGATTGCTTGCGTAGCTGTACTAGCCAATGGGGTGACGTTTCCATGGCACAGGGTTGCCGTTTCATTGAGGCGTAGACAATTTCCTGTAAAACTTGCCTTTGCTATGACCATCCATAAGTCTCAGGGCCAAACGGTTAGGCGTGTTGGCATTTTTTTTACCTGAGCCTGCATTTTTACATGGTCAACTTTATGTTGCCTGTTCAAGAGTTCGTAAAAGAACGAACGTAAAATTAAAAATAATCGATGGTGCTCTGCAAGGCGAGCTTAAAAATGATGGAAAGATCTACGAGAAATGTTGTGTACAAAGAGATCTTTGACATGTGAATTAACATTTTATTATTTAAATCGCCTTTATTTATTGAGCTAGCGGTGGCTCTAAGAAATGTACCGCCAGTGGTTTCCTTCATTGCACTCTACTTGAAGCAATTAAGCAAGTTAGAAGGGGGAAAGCCCGTGGGGCAGTAAGCAAAGGGGCGTCCTCGCCGCCTGCCCTGGGTAATTCAGTATGAATTTAGCAGACACCTTTGCACAAATCATTTTAATTACAATTTATAATATCTAGAACAGCGGTCATTTCGTATGACTGCCGGGCTTTCTAGTAGTAAATAATTGTACTCAGACCGCTGCAGTCTGAATATAATTATTCATTAACGATATTAAACTGATAGTAATTAAAATATACAAAAAATTTGACATGCATAGTCACCACCAAACTAGTATAATTCTAGAATTTGTGGGTACTAAATATAAAGCAATTTTTGGTTCATAGCAGTTGTTAAATTAACTTACTCTCTACACTACAAAGAAATTTAGATACATTTGAAATTCTAAAA